ACATGATGTGAAATAAATATTTATACATATTAAACCGAAGCCAAGAGTAATGAGTAACGTTTGTTTTAAAAATGTAAGGAGTAGAAAGAACAGATACTTGTGTGAAAATGCAATGAGTAGAAGTCAGAGGTAAAGTAAATTATGTCAGAAAATTATGTAACGGAGTAAATTATGACACCTAAAAAGTGTACTTAAGTACAGTAACAAAGTATTTGTACTTCATTACTTCACACCTCTGCGTATAACTAACTAGCCTGCATAAGATAATGAAAAACCCCACAGATTTTATGACAGGATTTTTCTAAAAATAGAAATTTTCTTAATTATGGGACAATATCATCAGATAGACATTTATATACATGTTTAAGCCAGAATGACATGACAGTTAAATATGACTTCCCTGCGACTTTAAAATAAAATTCCTTATGAATTAAAACAGAAAATAAATACAGCAAACAATAAATCAATATAGTTTCACAGTTCATAGTTCAGTGTTCGTTCACTTATTTCTTATCTTTTTGTCTTTCAAATTGTGTATTTATTATTGCACGGTGCATTTCCTCATTCATGCTTTTGTTCCTGTTTTAAGGTGTGGTTTATTTATCCTATATCGTTGGCACTCTCCCAGTTTAAACAGGTTCCGTCACAGCATGCATGTAAAATCCGATTTATCCTGAACGCGTAATGAAAAAAAAACAAACAAGTTCTGGTGGCGTCATTACGCAAACGACGTAAGCCGAGTTGTCCAATCAGGTGCGTCGCTCCCAGCTTAGGGAAGAAGCAGATGATATGGCAGCTTAGAGCGACCAGGTGGAACTAGCTTGGTTGGATGTTGGTGTCTGCGGAGCCGCGGACTCAGCTGGACCCCTGGAAATGATTTACCTGATCCTGATCTCCGCGCTGTGCGGGGCCGCCGTCACGCTGCTCTTACAGTTCTTGTTGATATACAGGAGGAGCCCTGAGCCCTTAGGTAGGAGCGTTCAGTATGTCAAAGTAGTGCCCGATAACGCACTAAAAGATTACTTTAATGCCGGCCAGGCCGAACCGAGCCAGCAGGACGGCGGAGCGGCAGCAGCATCCAAACCGCAGGAGGCAACCTTCAGCCGGCAGCAGGAAGCGGCTGTGACCGGCGGCAGCCCCAAGCAGCAGCAGCAGCAGCTCCACAGCGAGCTGCTGGATGCTGGGAGGACAGAAACATGCAATTTCCTCAATGCCATCTTCCTGTTTCTGTTCAGAGAGCTGAGGGACACCCCGGCGGTCCGCCACTGGATGACCAAAAAGATCAAGGTGGAGTTTGAGGAGCTGCTGCAGACTAAGACGGCGGGTCGCCTCCTGGAGGGGCTCAGCCTGAGGGACATCTCCCTGGGGAACTCTCTGCCGGTCTTCAAGGCGGCCAGGCTCCTCAAACCGGCGCAGCTGGACGACGACGGGATGCCGGAGGAGCTCAACTTCGAGGTGGACATCGAGTACAATGGCGGCTTCCACCTGGCCATCGACGTGGACCTGGTGTTCGGCAAGTCCGCCTACCTGTTCGTCAAGATGCGGCGCGTGGTGGGCAGGCTCCGGCTGCAGTTCACGCGCATGCCCTTCTCCCATTGGTCCTTCTCCTTCCTGGAGGACCCGCTGGTGGATTTTGAGGTGAAGTCTCAGTTTGAAGGGAGGCCGCTGCCTCAGCTGACCTCCTTCATAGTCAACCAGCTGAAACGGGTCATCAAGAAGAAGCACACCCTGCCCAACTACAAGATCAGGTAAGGCGGCCCACAACCTCCAGAACCACCAACCAGCCACAGCCTGAAACATGGCCTGACATTACTCAGCTCAAACTGAAGTACAGCTGTCACAACACGTTTTTATTTATAAAACACATTTTTGCAACAATAATGGAATAAAATTCACTCCATACATGTTCAGCCACCTGGGCAAACTCTGACCCTATAGTAATTAAATTCAATTTATTTCTATAGCGCCAATTCACAACGCATGTCATCTGACCAGATCATCCAGTCAGGTTGATTCAAAGTTTTCTATCTTAAGAAAACCAGCTGATTGCATCAACTCATTGACTCAAATACAATCCCTCACACTAAGCATGCTTGTAGCGACAGTGGAGAGGAAAAACACCCTTTTAACAGGAAGAAACCTCCAGCAGAACCAGGCTCAGTGTGAGCGGCCATCTGCTGAGGCCGACTGGGGTTCAAGGAGACAGAAGCAGACATAGAAATAGAATCAGAGACACAA